GTTTTTGGAGATCAGGTGGCCTTTGGTTATATGGGTAAGCTCTTTGGTGGTGACTTCTGAGCTTTTAGTGCACCTGTCGCCCCAGCAGTGTACACTGCACCCAATGTATAGTCTTTTGTCCCTCACCCCACCTTGCCCTTCCCCATGAGTCCCAAAAGTCCACTGTATCATTCTTAAACCTTTGCATCCTCACAGCTTAGCTCCCACTTATGAATGAGAACATACGATGTTTGGTGTTTTCCATTCCTGAGTTACTTCACTTAGAACAATGATCTCCAACTCTATGTAGGTTGCTGCAAATGCCATTATTTCATTCCTTTTTATGGCTCAGTAGTATTCCATGTATATATATATGTGTGTGTGTGTGTGTGTATATATATATGTATATATATATATACACATATATATATATACACACACACACACACACATATATATATACATGGAATACTACTGAGCCATAAAAAGGAATGAAATACTATTTATATATACATATATATATATATATACACACACACACATATATATATACATGGAATATACACATATATATGCATGTGTATATATATGTGTACATATATACATGGAATATACACATATACATATGCATGTGTATATATACATGTGTGTATATATAAACATGGAATACTATATTATATACATACACACACATACACACACACACACACATACACACACATAGATTTACCATTTGATCTACCAATCCCTCTACTAGGCAGCTACCTAGAGGAAAAGAAGTCATACTACAAAAAAGATACTTGCACATGTATGTTTATAGCAGCACAATTTGCAAATTGCAAAAGTATGGAACCAGTCCAAATGCCCACCAATGAATGGATATAGAAAATGTAACACACACACACACACACACACACACACACACACACACACACATACAGTTATGCATGTGTATGTATATGTGTGTATATATATGTGTGTGTATATATGTATGTATATACATGTAAGTCAACATATGACTTCTTTTCCTCTGGGTAGATACCCAGTAATGGGTTTGCTGGATCAAATAGTGACTCTACCTTTAGTTTTTTAAGGAATCCTCACACTATTTCCATAGAGGCTGTCCTACTTTACATTCCCACCAGCAGTGTAAAACTATTCCCTTTTCACTACATCCAGGCCATCTATTATTTTTTGAGTTTTTGATTATGGCCATTCTTGCAGGAATAAAGTGGTATCACATTGTGGCTTTGATTTGCATTTCCCTAATGATTAGTGATGTTGGGCATTTTTTTTCATATGTTTGTTGGCCATTTGTGTATCTTCTTTTGAGAATTGTCTATTCATGTCCTTAGCCTACTTTTTGACGGGATTTTTTTTCTTGCTAATTTGAGCTCCTTGTAGATTCTCGATATTAGTCCTTCGTCAGATGCATAGATTGTGAACATTTCCTCCCACTTTGTGGGTTGTCTGTTTACTCTGCTATTACTTTTGCTGTGCAGAAACTTTTTAGTTTAGTTAATTCCCATCTATTTCTCTTGTTTTTCTTGCATTTGCTTTTGGGTTTCCGGTTATGAAGCCTTTGCCTAAGCCAATGTCTAAAAGAGTTTTTCTAATGTTATCTTCTAGAATTTTTATGGTTTCAGGTCTTGGATTTAAGTCTTGATTTTTATATAAGGTTAGAGATGATGATCTTGTTTCATTCTTGTCTGTGGCTTGCCAATTATTCCAGCACCATTTGTTGAATGGGTGTCCTTTTCCCACTTTATGCTTTTGTTTGCTTTGTAGAAGATCCGTTACTGTAAGTATTTGGCTTCATTTCTGGGTTCTCTATTCTGTTCCACTGGTCTGTGTACCTATTTTTATACCAGTACCATGCTGTTTTGGTGACCATAGCCTTGTAGTATAGTTTGAAGTCGGGTAATGTGATGCCTCCAGATTTGTTATTTTTGCTTAATCTTGCTTTGGCTACGCAAACTCTTTTAGGACAAGGACTATATCTTCTCCACCCCTGAATACTTGGCATCTAGCCTGGAATAGGCTCACAAAAACTATTTGTCGAATGAATAAATAAAAGTGGTGGAACCAGGACTCAGCTAAAACTTCTCACCCTAAATCCAGTGCTTTTCTCATTACATCACAGCTAATGAATGATATAATGAGCTGTCACATCATGGTAGAAGGACCAAATACTCCATGCCATCAGAAGGTAGATTTCTTATTCTTAATCTGGCTCTGTGAAAAAAGAATTAGTGAAATAGTGACAAGATGGGTAAAAGTCAACATGGAGATTAAGAGACTGTACTAGTAAGACTACAGTGACTCCTTCTCAAAATGCTTAACTACTATATTAAGTGCAAAATAGTTAAAAAGTGTTAGTCCTAAAGTTAGCAAGAAGATAGTGTCTTTTTATTAGATTATAAATATATATGAGATTATTCCAAGAGATACCTATTTTATGTAAACACATTCATACACATCCATCAGTAAGCATCCTTAATTCTTAATTTATCTGCATTCAATTGAAAAAATTTGTATTTTCCTGTGCTCTTTCTCTCCTTCACTATCTATGATGGGGCCTGGGAAATGAAAGGGTCGAATGCAAATCTGTCAGTGTGTTTGCTTCTATTTTTCTTTCTAAAGTCATCAGCAAAAGTCTCCACTGAGAGACTAAGTTGAAACCTGGTGACAATGTACTTACATAAATGTCTCTTAAATTATCTTTGTTTTCTCAGATTCTATTAGGAAGAATTATTGTGTAGCAATTTTAAGTAGGTACAATTCAAACCATTCAGATCTTGTTTTCTTTTTCTTTTCTTTTTTTTTTTTTTTTGGAAGTGGAGTCTCACTACAGGCAATGTATATCTCCTGTATGCTCATTTCACAGTAAGATTCGCGCTCCTATGAGAATCTAATGCTGTGGCTGATATGACAGGAGTCGGAGCTCTGGCAGTCATACTTGCTCACGTGACCACCACTTACCTCCTGCTATGCAGCCTGGTTCATAACAGGATATGCACAGGTACCCAGGGACCTCTGTAGTAAAAGACTCTAACCAAGAGCTTCTTCTCTCCCAAAAAGTAATAATATATGCCAAGAAAGCTGCAGCAATATATTTATTGCAAAAGAATTAGACATTACATTAACCTGATGAAGATGTAACAATGCATGAAGCATAACTGGAGCAACATTATTTTAAAAATCACAAATGAAAAAGAAAATTCATTTTCAAAAGAAAATATCGTATCCAAGTCATCTTAATCTCTGAACACCATAATGCAACTCTTAATGTTGATTCTAAAAACATCCAGGATGAAGTTTACTTTAAACTGAGTAACAGAAAGGAAAGGTTTCTTTCCCAACTTTCCCAATAGATTCCTTGGCTAACATCTGTGTATCACGCCCATGAAGTAATTTTCATCAACAGACAGCAAAAAGAAAAAACCCCTCCTACAAATAGAGAAACAGGAAATCCAAGCAACAAATCAACTAGTAGCCTCCAACTGAATGGGGTAGACAGAATCAGCATTTTCTAGAACTTAGAAGTTACATTAACTTTACTAGTAAGATTTTATTGTCTTTTTAAGAAACTGCATGGATTCAAGGGCACACTGAGCTGTAACACATCATTACATTCACACTGGGTAACAGTGTAGAGGGGTTTCAGATGTTCATCATCTGTTCATCAAAGCTTTCTGAAACCTCTGGAGCTTTACTCTTCTACTGTATAATAAATTTTCACTGTGTATAACAAAATCCCTTTGAAGAAAATTATCCCCAGATAATCCATCTGTGAAAATACAAGTACTGCAAAAAGCAGTGACGATAAATACTTTTTGAAAAGGCAAAAATGCTGCATCAACTTTCAGAGGCACTATCATAGAATCATCTCTGAAATCATCCCTGAAAAGGAGAACCGCATATGTACTTTGAAAATTACTTTCCTTGCCTATACCCAGCATGCATGAATGTCCTCTAATAAGCTATTTGTAGGCTGAGTAAGGGAAGAGTCAAAATGCAGAATTGCAGGTTTTCGTTGAGCTGGGACCACTTTCCTTTTCCCTTCCAACGGATTTCAAAACAGCTTGTTCCTAAGCATTTCACAGTTCGCAAAAATTTTCACATGAAAGGGGAAGATGATTAGAGCTTATTAGATTCTGTCAGTTGGCCAAAAAAAAAAAAAAAGTATTTCAACACAGCTTGTCATCTTTGGAAAAACCCAATCATAATTACATTTCCTTATACTGAACTTAAGGTAGAGAGACCTAAACTAAGAGCACTCACAATTTGGTGGGAAAATGGCAAATCCTTGTTATTTGATGACTGTGGTACCAAGTACAGAGGAATTCATTCACATCTGAATGAGTTATTTAAATAAAAAGGCAGAAAGCTAATCTAGACATTTTAAGTCCTAAATTAAATTTTTCAGGTGTGATATTTTTAGTTTGAGTAATAATGCTGGTCTGGTTTGCTACAAAATTAGCAACATTCTCCTTTACCTTGAGCTGGGTAGACTCAGCTACAATGTCCTACTTTCTTTATGTATGTTTAAAGTAATGCCTAACCAGACTGACAATGCATGTAGATGCAGCATGCTCGTTGGCACAAAGCAGGCAGGGAGAAATGCCCCTACCTTCCCGAAAAACACACAGGAGCATGACTACTAATCAGTCATTTTCATCATATAGACAATGTCAGTAGATATTAAGACAGATACACATAAAGTGACATAAATGTTTCCACCTTTCCACCACTGAGTGAAACATGCTGTTCTTTGGAGAAAAAAATACATTCATTTTTTTCAAGTATATTTCAATATACAAAGATGCTCTGGCTTTGTTTCACTATAAAGACAAAAAGATTTCATATGTGTCCAAGGGAAATTTCAGTTTACCTTCCCTTTGGTGTGGATTTCATGAAGTTCTGACTAAAAAAATTACTCTGAATATACATCTACTCATTTTATCTGAAAGCATGAACTATGTTCATTATATATATATATATATATATATATATATATATATATATATATATATATGTACATAGTAACAACAACAAAAACCAGTCCACGTATGTCCAATGGCTTAGGACTGGCATGCTCTGAGGAGCGCGAGGCCCACCTGCTGCCACTAGAAGCTCAGCACCAGTGTTAGGTGGTTCCATCACCTTCAGGGTCCAGCCTCCGGCCAGCAGCATGCAGGCTCTTCCTTTCTGTAGTATTCTAAGGAGCACTTTCTGCTGAGGCTGCGGCTCTGCCATTATGGCTTATTTCCCATCTTGGCTTTGTTGTTAGGGTTGCAGTTTAGGTCTCTCAGCAACAGTTCACAACTGGCGAGAGCATCTGCGGGCAGCAGCTTCCGGAGTTGCTCCACTGTCTTTTGATAAGCCATTTTTTCTTGTTCCAGGGTCCGGATTAAAGACTTCATTTTGGTCTCTCTTGTCAAAAGATTTTCCAGGTTTGATTCCAAGGTTTGGATTTTAGCATGAGCTACCTGTTTGCAGAAAAAAAAAAATCCTCCAAATCAAAAATTTTAAGTCTAGTTCATTATAATAGTCCCCAGTCCTTACACATATTAATTTCACATTACCTAATAAAATATTATGTGAAGCGAATACTCTGAAAACCCACATGGAACGATGATTTATTAGGTTTCACAAAGATGTAACTATGGAACTATCATGATTCATCTCCTCTCACTGAATACACTAGTAATTCAATACTAAATCAACCCCCTCACCCACAGTAGGAGTCCTTATTCTACACCCACTGGTGTTCCCCTGGGTGAGTGGGCTTTGGCCTGGCTGAAGGAGAAACAGGAGATTGCTGACACTATCCTGCAGTGCTAAAAGAGGTTTTCCTTCTCTGCCTGGATTACGGCATTTTCCAAACACACACTTGGGCTTTCATCAGTTTTTGTAGATGTAAGGGGTGGCCGAGTAATTGATGATGAAAGTAATTGATGATGACTGCCCTGAACTGCCAATTAAAAAGTCTACAACAGTTCAGAAGAATCATTATAAAACAGGTGCAATCCCACCTTCCCTCATCAGGGCAAATACTCAATCACCACTGAAATCTCCAACTAAAAATGGACAATCTACCAACCATTTATTTTTGTTTTTGAAAATAGACGATGTTGCTCTTTTGTGAATAGGAAAAAAAGATCAAAATTTTCTATGACCCAGAGCCAATGTAAGACAAAGTGAAGGAAGTTTAGTGTTCCAATTCTTAGGGAGCAACTACTTTAGAGAACCCTCATTTCTAACCTGTCTCTGCTGAGTGGTCTTGGCAGGTGACTCACCATATAGAAGCAGAGTTTTAGTGTTTTCTAGTTGGTAGCCAGGTGCAGTGTTGGGGAAATGGAGAGGAGGGGTTAAGTGGAAACCAAGAAGCCATTGGGCACTTAAACTCAGGAGTCATCTCCCCTGATGACTTCAGAAGGATCACCTGCTAGCCTCCCGCCCATGATCACTCTTAAGCCCCGCCCCTGAGGGCATCAGGGCATGGCCACACAGCACACATCATACAGGTGGCAAATACAGAATATTACTTTGTCAGAAATTGCTTATTGCATGTATAAGTGTGTGCTTAGAGATAGACATGTAATATTTTATATTCTCAAATAATTGTCAACTCCCTGATGGCAGGAATGATGTATTAATATTACACAGGAATGATGTATTAATATTACGTGTGATATTAATGATCATTCAATTTACCTAGACACGTCTCCCTCTCTTTCAATTTCCATTTTAGTCTAGACAACTGTCATCATCCCCAACAGATGTTCACAAATGACGTCTAGCAGGCCTCCTTACCTTCTCTCCCTGTCCTTGTCAAGGTTCCTGGATTGATCTTTCTGCAGCACGGCTCAAAAACTTTGAGAGATTTCCCTCTTGACAGGATTAAAGCCATGTTCTTTGGCTTGACACCAAAAGTCACTTACAATTCTGCCTCCATCATGTTTACCCTACCTTTCCCCAACATCTATCTTAAACTGACGCCAGGAACTCTGCTGCTCTGCCATGTCCTCCTTATTCATGCACCCTCCTAACCAGCCTGACTGAAGACCGTCCTCACCCATTTCTTCCACCAAACCTCCAGATACCAACTCAAAAAGTTTCCTACATTCAATTCTTCCTCCTTTGAACTTAACTGAATGTGTATAACATGCAGTAAGTATTTAAAAAGATTCCACTTTGAACTGCCATTTAGCTATTTTGTAAGGGTGCATTTTTTCCCAAGTAATGTTTAATTTAACATGTCAACTGCAACCCCAAAGCACTTGGACAGTCTGCTACATGGGCTCTTGGTCAGCAATGGTTCATTCCACACACATCCTAACATTCCTGAGGTAGTTCTGTGTATGCAGGAGGCATTAAAGAACTTCTTTGCTCAAATCTTCATTTCATTACCTGTAATTTCTCTAGGAGGTCCATGTTTTGTCTTTTCAGTTGGCTATTGGCCCTCTCCAGCTTCTCCAAAGGTTCACTATCCTCACAGGCATATGAAGATTCCTGAAGCTCATCCTGTAGCACATGATACTCCACCTCATAGGCATGCAACTGCTTAGAAATATCCATCTCAAAAACCTGCCATGAAAGCATCATGGGTTATGCTAGCCTTTGGTATGTATTAACAAGATACAGCTTGTGTCTGATCTTGATATATTTCATGTATATTTCCAAATACTTATTAATGAAGAACATTAAAGCATAAAAAAGGAAAAAAAACAGGTGTGACTGTCAATACAAGAATAAATTAGATATAGCTTACACTGTTAACATAAAAACAGATAGCTCTTTCTGTGAAAGAATAAATTTTTTCTTTAAAAACAGAACAGATTATTTCTATACAATTGAAACATTCTCATGAAGCCAAGTCACTAGAATAAATTAACATCCAAGAGTATTTTGCAGCCAACATATTCATAATCTAGTAACTGTCTCCCAAAATGTAGTATAGTAGGTAAACAACATTATTGAGTAATTATTATGTCAGAGGTAATCTCTGCTGATCAGTAAGCAAAATTGCATAGGGTATTACTGTAATAGAGAAACCAAAAGCATTTCTAATTTATCTGCCAATGGAGCAGAAAGATCTTAATAAAACTTTTCATCCATTTGCTATTCCCGATAAGCCTCTTAAGCATCATTTACATATTGTACCACATAGAGAATCCTCAAAATTGCACATCATGAGCACTGTCCAGGGCGGTAAGGTTTAATTTGGGCTGTTACTGCTCTCCTATATCACCGCTAAATAGGAAGATAGTTTGCTTTGAAGCTAGAGGACAGTTACTACAAACTTCCTAGGGGAAGGAGAGACAGCAGCCTGATGACTACATTGAACAAGCAATGGTGTCTACACCAACACTGAAAAGAGAAAAGAAACCACAAAAACCTGACTTTGCTAATTACTACTAGAGATACTAAAACATTTGAATTTTAGTAAGAGAATTTCCAGACTAACTGGTCATCCTCAAATAACCATCACCTTTTCCTTACCTAGTGGGATGGATACAATGGATTATTACGCAACCATTAAAAATGATAATATGGATTTATATGTATTGGAAAAAATCTAATACCCTATATTTTTTAAAATTATAAATGAGGTTCCACAACAGCATATAGAGTATGATTTCATTTATGTATAACTGTATACATTTTTATATGTATATATAAGCAAAGAAACATGTAATAGAAAGTTTCAAAGGTTATCTCTAGATGTTGAGATTTGTAGTTACTTTTATTTTCTTCTTTGTGTTTTCTGCATTTGTATTTTTTCCAGTATCCGTAAAGTTCAAAGTCTCCCTTAATATCAGCGTTTAATTCCACAGTAATCAACTCTAATTGTTAGAAAATTATCTCTAATATCAAGTTCAAATTGACCTGCCTATAAATTCTACTCATTAATCCTAATAGTAATTTGTAAAGCCAGGTGATTTCCTCATTAATTTTAGCAGGGAGGTGATATCTGACTTCAAATATCTAAAAGCATAATATCTGATTCCTTTCCAATCAAGAAAGCTATTTCTGAAAAATTAATAAACAAGTAAATATATAAGTAAAAGCTATACTTTCCAGCTTATAGAGCATTTTTAACAAACACAAACTATTAATAGATATTTATGATTTAGACTCCATGTAATAGAAAATTCTATATGAATTAATATAATAAGAGTTCATATTATAGTAAGAATTACAGGATATAAAATACTTGAATATATTGGTTATATTTGCTCATAAAATAATATAAAACTATAATAGAATCTATTTCTGTTCTTCCCATTTTGTAGAGGAAGAGGCTGAGACCTAGAGAAGCTGTAACTTGCTCAAACCTCTCAGATCAGTATTGTCCCATTCTGGAACTCGTCCAGTACTATCCTGTTCTGGACAACTAGAATTTAGACAATTAGGCTGATGTGTGCAAGCCAAACAACCAATTTAAGAGCTAGAAGTAGATGCAAACCCAGCATCTTCTAATACAAGCCCGTATTCTTACCCAACAGCTAGTAAGTGCAGGGCACCAGAACAAGGCTCCAAACTCCCTTTCTCTAAACCCTCTCGTCTTTCTGCCATCAAAAGTGCCTTCACGAAAGTGGGTAAACTTTATCAATGCTAATAAAGCATAACTGTCAAGCTATCAGTCTGCTCTTAAGCTTGTCCCCTGCATCTGAACAGCAGCAATATACAGCTACCACTCACCTGGTCCTTATGAAGAGTCCCTAACTCTTCACAAGGACCAGGTGAGTGGCAGCTGTATACTGGTGTGCAAATTACTCTCAATTTGCTTCTCAGATCCATTCTCTGCCCTCATCCATTCTATTGTACCCTAGGAGACAGACAATTCCCCACACTTTCTTTCTGGCTGGCTTCTGGTTCAGTTTGGTGAATAGAAGATGCCAGCACAAGATCAGAAGGGGCAGGAGAAAAGCGTTGGGTATTTCTTTTCTGGTCCTTCCCTGTCTAGTTCAACAAGACCACAACAACCAGCACAGAACACTTGTCCAGAGTTCCGGCTCTCCCTGGGCCTAGTAACACTATTATGTCCTCCACTTAGCCCCTCTGCACCAGGGGTTTGAACAGTTTCCCTGTGCTACTAGTTCCTGGGCACCTGGACGTCTGTGTTGGATTCCCTTAAGCCTACCCACACCTTTATAAATGGTTCCTTCATTTGAACTATCAGAGGGAGAATGTTTCCTGCAGGGACAAAGACTGATACATCAAGTCTCCTCACTTAAGCTTCATAAAACCTCCCAGATCAGTGTCGTCCCATTCTGGAACTTGTCCAGTACTGTCCCATTCAGACAAGTAGGGTTTAGATGACTAGCCTGATGTGTGCAAGCCAAACAACCAATTAAAGAGCTAGAAGTAGATCCAAACCCAATACCTTCTAATTCCAAAGCCTGTACTCTTGCTACATCTCCTCTTTGTGTATGTTAATTACAACATAATTATCAATATAACAAAGGCAAGTGGATTTCATTTTATTTTCAGGCCTTCCTCACTCTGTCAGTTCTATCTTCAGTTTTAGCATTGGTTTATATTGAAAGGATTCCTGAAAAACTCATTACATCACACTAAACCATATTTCCTGTGCATAGCCAGATAGACAATGTCACAATGTAGAAATTTTACAATAGACTCCTTTCTCCATAAAATGTATCTGATCAAAGTTTTTAAAAAAGCTTTAAAAAACTGTACCTGTCAAGCAAAGCTACATTTTTATGCTAAAGCATTTAATATACATTCAGTAAAAAAAAAAATGTTATAATAATATTAGCATTTAAATCATACCTGGGTAATAATTTTTTCCATTTCAGAGGTATTCATATCAGGTAGCGTGCTTTTAAGAAACTCAACAATATTTTCAAAGCTTTCACATTCCATTATAAGTGTCTCTTGGCTGCTCAGCAGGCTAAGTGCAACCTTAAATATAACTTCAGTTCCCTGAAGAAAAATAATATCTAAAAGAAGAGATATAATTTTCATGATCAAAATTATGCATCCATTCTTGTGAAAAGCATGCTATTTGTGCTAAAGGTTTTGTTTACTTGTTTTATGTAGTTTGCAAAAGAAAACTAGTCAAAAGCATCTAGCTTTTTTAAAAATAAAAAGGTAATATAACTAAACATATAAGCAGATGTTTTAATATTCCTCTTAAGAATCTCAGAGAAAGCCAGAGTAAAAAAAGACAAAGTATATACCTCTGTCGATGTACTATCTGTAATTTTTAATGCCAAATTTAATGGCGACAAAGTAAACCTCAAGGACAGTTATCAGTTATTCAACTGATATTTAGATTTTTCTTCACAACAGGAATACAAAACAAATTTACATAACAAATTAGTACTATTCCAACTCTCATTACCATAATAAAAAGTAAATGAACTAGCTATGTAATTAAATCTATACCATACCAGGAAATTAAAAAAAAAAAAGACGCCTTAAAAGAAAAATTAAAACAAATAACAACAAACATATAACCTCAATCAGAAGAGAAAAATAGGAGCTACCCTAACTCTAAGCCCTGCTTTCTTACAAATACAAACATGCAATACTTTTCAAAAGTATCAAGTACTAGGCTGGGCGTGGTGGCTCATGCCTATAATCCCAATACTTTGGGAGGCTGAGGCAGGTGGACTGCTTAAGGCCAGGTGTTTGAGATCAGCCTGGTCAACATGGTGAAACCCCATCTCTACAAAAAATTCAAAAATTAGCCGGGTGTGGTGGCATGTGCCTGTAGTCTTAGCTACAGGTTAAGGCAGGAGAATCGCTTGAACCCAGGAGAATCGCATGAACCCAGGAGGCAGGGGTTGCAGTAAACTGATATCATGCTGCTGTACTCCAGCCCGGGCAACAGAGCAAGACTGGGAAGGAGAAAGGAAGGAAAGAAAGGAAAGAAAAGGAAAGAAAAGGAAAGAAAGAAAGAAAGAAGGAAAGAAGGAAGGAAAGAGGGAAGGAAGGAAGGAAGGAAAGAAGGAAGGAAGGAAGGAAGGAAGGAAGAAAGAAAGAAAAGTATCAAGTACTTTTGTTTGAAAGTTTCTCTCAATCTACGTCATTCTTTAATCAATAATATACAACAGGGAGTCCTTAATGAAGAGGGAACCATAAATCTTTATTTCAAACATAGTAATACTTCTTGTCCATGCATCTTTCCATTTTCTGCCAGTCTCTATTCTTTTATAAATTCAAACAAGAGAGGTGAACAGCTATTGTACAGCCAACAGCATCATTTGTAGTCTCATAACAAAAAACTGATACTGAGGACATTTGTCTCTTGAACTCTTGATATCAAGCTTCCAAGGGTAAGTCAAAGAGAGATGCCCTGAAACATTTTGATTTGATAGACTATTCTCTAGAAGAAAAACACATAAACAAAAGGATTTATAGAAGACCCATTAACAGAAACCCAAGCTCCAGAGAAAATGTCAGTGTAGAAAAGCAATAGCGTATCTTCAATAAACAAACAAACAAAAAATGTGGTGAACATTTGATTCAGTGCATTTTAACTTTACTTTTCCACTACACTTTATAAATTGTAGTACCGCTAATGCAGTGTTCAACTTTCAAACCACACCCCTCAGTAAGAAAGATACTGTATGCTGTAATCTGGTACACACACATATTACACATATATCCTCAAAACAAGTTCCTCCCAACAACATATTTCCTTACTATTTGTAATATTCCCTAATATCTTCACCGTATGCTCTTCTGTTTCACTTTTTCAAACACTGGCAGTGACCTACAATTGAGCCAATACTCACAATTTGACAAAAAGCTCCAACTGAGCAGAAGTGCAGTTGTGAGTGGATACTGACTGCTTTGACCATGGCTACTAAATAGATGAACAGAACACAAAAATTAAAGGAGCCCTTTCTAAGGCTATTGAGGTCCTAAATGACATCATTAGAACCAACCTCTGATGAATAGTTGGTTGTTGTTCTTGTTTTACTTTTTGCTTTTTAAATAATAGACAAATACAAAGACTTATGAATAGATTTAAGGGCCTCCAAAGGGAACATAAACCATGTTACACTCCCTTTTTATTCCCAATGCCAAACACTGTGATTAGAGCAGCCAGTTGCTAACTTGCCCTGGGCTCTACTGACTCTACTTAGTGTTTTTCCCTGAGCCACCAGTCTTAGAGACTGTTCCCAAGCACTGCATCAGTGTGAAAGAAGAGTTACATAAGCAATGAAACAGGAAGTAAAGTTAACCCGTTAACAACAAAAAAATCAGACTGAGAAATGCCATTAGAAACAATGCTGATACAGGTGCTTCCACTGACCCAGTTAAAGAACATATTTCTTTGTGTTTTGAATGCAAGATGAAGACAATAATGGGGGTAGAAAATTATACAGTCTGTCCCTAGCCCAGATTTTAGAAGTATACCCTCTGAATTTTAGGCATAAATGAAAATAAGAGTTCCATTACAACTTGCTCAAATACAGGAGCCTAATTCCTCTTTCCCTTTTAATTTCAATTTTATGTAAGACAAATATGGTTTTAAATTACTATCAGAATAGAGCCAGGCACGTTTATTATATTCCACCAGCAATTTGCTATTCTGTGTAACGCAATGAGAAAACAATAGGGCTACTATATGGCTAGAAGTAAAAATATAGTTCTTAGAATAAATAACACTGTTCATTTAATTACAGATATCTCTTACCAAAAACTCTGGCTACAAATCCTAATGAAAACTGAGAGGCAAACAATGTGAGGAACCAGGGGGCAGCATAAAGACTGGGGCTGATTTCATTTTCTTCAAGGTGATTGTAGAGATCTCTGTGATAGTCATGAAGGAGCCGGGACAGCTGGTACATTTGAATCTAAAGTTAATTTGGAGAAGAAAAAATAAAACATTATGCATTTATTTGCATGTGCATCAAATACATGGAATTTATTATTCTACTATTTAATAACAAATTCACATATATAAATATAAGTAGTATTACTTTATTTTTATGATTTTAAAGTTGATATTAAAATCCAAGTTCACTCAACTGAAGTCATAAAGTAAGTCACTGAACGTCCATCTGAGAAGACAGAGCAAGTTTCTTTATCATGTGTGTTTGAGTATCACATATATAGAGATAAATTGATATTTTTCTTCTGTGGCATTGTTTTTGGAATTTAATGAGAACTGTCCTGGCTCAGGAACCTCATATAAGATCCCTTCTAATTTCAGACTAATTCCAGAAGAGCCTCCATTCTAAAGAATCTACTATGTTCAGTGCAGAAGCTTATTTCTATTTGCTGGGACCAGCATGTGATTTATGAAAGAGTTCTGGCTCTCCAGACAATCTGCACTATAAGGACAGAATTAAAGCTTAAAATGTTACAGGGCCAGAAGCTTGAGATTTTATTTCTAATATTCAAGTGATTCCAGCAGCATATTTCTCATGACAAATAGGATTAAAGCAAAAAGTGCAGTCGTTTCTGAATGTTTCTAGAACTAAAAGAAAAAATTATTTCATTTGGCAATTGAGTTGATTACTGCATCTAAAAAAAAAATTATAAAGACAGCATCCAGGAACTTTCAAACTCTTACATCTATAATACTAAAGAAAAAGGAGTAGTAACAAACAAGTTCCTGAATTGTGTTTTAATTAAATTTTTATCCACACAGTTAACAGATAAGTGGTGGTTCCCTGATCAATTATATAAGCTTGATGCTTTGGTGTGAAAATGTATAAAATGTTTTATTCAATTTTTATTAAATCTAGCAGAACTTCTTTCACTAGAAGAAAGCATTAAAACATCACTCTTAAGTAGCTCTATGACAATATATAAAAATAAGCAATTATGTTGTGAATTCAAGAATTATTTCTAGAACATAGAACTAAAAATCAACAGAATCCTTTAGAAAAAAATCAAGAACTATACATAAATACAAAAAATTGTTTGTTCAACCCTTATCCACAATAATATCTTTGGAAACTCAGTTTCCACACAAACTGTAAGTAAAAGGGAATTAAAGAGCCACAGGAAGTCATAGCTATGAAATAAGAAGCTTAGCTGGAGGCATACAGAAAGGTTTTTTTTTTTTTTTTTTTTT